GGTTTTTTTTGGGGACCCTACCCAGAGCCGATGACTCGACAGTCTGACCTGCTCGCTGCAGGGGGTTGGCGCAGGGGATAAGACATTACTGTCTCACCCCTGATGTGGCTGCGCACAGCAAGTGCCTTTTGAGTAGCATCGGGCTCTTTGATTTTAAAAGTATTTCGACCGTACTGGTGTCATGAATATTCTTTGTGCTCACATTATCGTTTTGTATTAACCATGCCTTCGCCTTTATTTTCAGCTTATGTACGTCTATTCTTAGACAAGTAAAGCGCTGTTCTTTCTACGCCATTCATTCTTGTTCTCGCGCTCAATCAGAATCGATATTCTATTCGTAACAGAGGGGCTGTGAGTAACGAGACAGTATGCTACCCCACCAACTCATACATACCAACTCATATATATATATATATATATATATATACCTTCAGTCCCCAACAGTTTCTGTTACGTGTAAACTCTAGCTATCCGGCGGTCGGTAATACATGGTTCACTGGTGCTCGTTGTGTGCATTGATTTCCAGGCTTTCTCTTTGTTCGGCCTAAAGGGTGCACTAGTGGTTCGGTCGGATACTGCTTTTCAGAAAACCACGAAGTATACAAAAGCAAAAGGTCGAATTTACAGGTTTCCGGCAGCTACCTATATGAAAAAGAACACGAAGATAGTGAAGATAATGATAGCGATGTATGATTTCCTTACAGTAACGATTAAATTGGTGGTTAGAGGTTGGTTTTATGTAATGTGGGGGGCGCGATGGACCAAGTGGTTAGAGCGCAAATTTACTGACCGGAAGGTCCGTGGTTCGAACCTGACCTCTGCCTCTCGACTTCCCCTGTCTAGGTTTGGGCGACCTGACAGTATCCCAGCCCTCGTGCCTCATTCGTGTTGCATGGCAGCTAGGCACGAAAGGGTGCTACAACTGGACGATTTTATTTTGTCTCTTGTTCAGACCGGAGGATCTAGCGAAAACTCGCAAGGTACAATATCCCTCGGCAATTTTAAGAAGCACTTTCTTCCATCTTCAGACCATACTTCAGGCATGTCCTTTGGGACCGGGCTTCCTGAGAGGGAGTATCGAGAGGGATATCGACTACTGCTTATGAATACATATGGGCGCCCACGGATCCACGGAATCTGTATTCCATGGATTTTCGACCCTGAATGTCAATGTGTATTCATAGCCACTACGGTTTCGGTCGCTGGGATATGGGAGAGCGTGGTATACAGTCAAGAACTGGAGGCGATGGCGGCAATGCATGAAGCAATGCATGGACCTCCAAGCCTCTACTTGAATTCCAAAATCACCACACATTCATGGAGTAAGACACGACTGTGAATCGAGGCTTTCGCCCAAGTTTCCCGGTCGGTTTTCTTCTTGCCGCTTAGCGGCTGCCGTTCAGCTGAAAGGTACAAGCGAAAAAAGGATGTGGTACTGTTCTTTAGGTTCTCAGTGCGGGGCGGTGAGCTTGTCAGCTCGAGGACTCGCTTAAAACGGGTCTAGTAGTGCCTGAACTGGGTTCTAGATGGAACGTGGGCAACCGTCGGAGGAAGGTTGTTCTACGCAGCAACTATCCGAAATGAGAAAAAATTGCGCCCAATAAAAGTGTGCACTCTGAGCT